ATCATATTAGCTAAAATAGAAAATCCTTAGTTGTTATTATTATAACAAATTAGGTCCAAATTTAATTAATTCTGAATTATTGAGCTTTATTAAAAGGTTAATAAAATAATTATTGCTGTTTTTATTCAAAAAGTTTAGAATTAAAAAATATTTATTTGTTTAGTATTCCGATGCTTGAATTAATGTAAATTTGAAGTTAAATATTAATTCAAATAAATACTTATAACTCTGCTAAGTGTTCAAGTTATTGAGCCTAGTAATATTTAAAATAATTTAAAACATAGAAAAAATGATTTTTATCTTATTTAACCTTTCTTTGCATAAACATCTTTAATGATGATTATTCAAAGAAGATATTAATAGATTTCAAAAATAAGGTTTTAAAATTTTGAACAATAAATCACAAGAAATTTTATGGCAAAAATCAATAGTGAGTTTTAAACTTTATTTAAATTTATTCTTAAGTTTTATAATTAATGAAATTTAATTTATAAAATAGATTTATTTATTAAGAATTAATGAAATAAATCTAAACTTAATCAAATTAATGAAATTTAATACTCTCTTAAAAAATGAAACAATTTGTATTCAAGAATGCATAATGACTAATTCTTGGGAGAGAAACTTTAAGTATACAAAATCATAATATTTATTATAATAACCACAGTTCCTTTTCAAACTTAATTATTAAAGAAAATCTATAATAAATTTATCTAATAAAAAGTTTAAATTTAATTTGAAATATCAATATTTATTATATTAGGCTTCCTACCAAATGTAGCTTTATTAAGATTTATGAATTGGTTTGAATATTATTCTTATTACTAAAAATCTTTTCAAGCTTAAAGCTTACTTCATTCCACAATTTAAGTTCATTAAAAATCATAAATATCCTTTAATTAAATAAATTAAAGTGTTCTTGAAATTGCTTTTAGAAGAACGTTGCAGTTTTAAATGAAATGATTTTAAAGTATTGAGTTTTTATTATTAAAAGTTTAGCTGAAGTTCTTTCATCTCATCTTTTAAAACAAAGCAGATCTTTAAATTCATTTATATGCAATTTAGAAAGGAAAAAATATTATGTAAATAAATTTCATAAAAGGTTTTGTCATATTTAGAAATAAATGTTACAATATTTTTGTTGAGAGATTGAATTTCATTTAAAAAAACAAGTTTTCTTCAATTAATTTTTGGAAACACTCTACTGCTAAATTGATTTATGAATTCCAATAAAAGTCAGTTAATTAACCTTAAGAATTTAAATTAATTTAAAATAGAGTGGAATTCTATTTTAATTTGGAATCCTTAAGTTACAAATTTTTTTATTTTGGAAGGATTCTTAATGAATATGATTCATTCTCAATATCTTAATATACAGATCCTGAGAAATGAATTAATATATGGAGTATTTGATTTTAGGAGATTTCCTAAACTCATTAATTATTATTTTACGAGTCCTCAATGATGCTTGAGGGATTCATAATCATTCACATAAAGTCCCATGATAATTACTTAATTTTTCATAGATTTAAAGTAATATTAAGTAAAGTTTTTGAAAGTGTTATGGAATAGATTAAAAGACCCTTCATTTAATAGAGAAATCTTTTTATTTTAATAAAATCATGTATTCTTATGAATTAAATTTATAAGATACAAGTAAAAAATATAATAAAGCCAGCTAATTAAATATTAAAATGAAAAAGAATTATTAACAAACATAAAGAGCATCTAATGTAAAATGAAAATAAAGATTATGATTACGTTTGTGTAAAGGTTTATACAAAAAAACTTCTTCATAATAACTGTGAATATGAATTTTCATATGATGTATTTAAAAAAGAATTCAACAAATTAAAAAAGGTAAGTTTTTATTTTCAAAATTGGTTCCTCCAAAATAACCACTTTTTTTACAATTTTGCCAAAAACAAATAGCTCTCTTAGTTATTATGCGTTGTTTTGTATTTTTAGTTGTAATATAGTTTTAATTTTGATCTTAAAAATTTCTATGTTATTCACATGATATTAAACTTATGTTCAAACATATGGAAAAAGGAAAATTTAATAAATAATTAGATAATTTGGGTAGTTCAAACATATCAGAATAAATCATTTGGTTGAAAATTTGTAAGGATTTAAGCAATAAAAACACTTTGAATTGTAATAATGAATCATAAGTTATTCTCAAATAAATGATAAACCAAAAATTTGATCTGATCATTTATTTTGAATACTTAGATATCTTTCAATTAATTATAATTTATTCTTTGTTTATTATTCATTATATTCAAAATAAATCAATATAATGAAATATTCTTACTTATTATAATTTTTATATTATCTTATTCATAAATCTCTAAATTTGATCCCATATTGCAAGATGCTTATGCACTTAAAAGTTCTTCATAAATAATTTCAAGTAATCTTTCAAAAAATTTTATTTTTGAAACACATAAATGGTTTAATGGACCTTACTAACCATTTCTTGATCAGAAATGTAAAATTGACATTGAGTGTATCTTTTGAAATGCCCATCAGCTAATGTATCTCTGGTTCTGACTCTTTTATGACCTGTTGGTATATTGAAATTTATTTATTTTATAATTAATTGCTTATCCAACAATTATGTCTTAATTAGAATATCATAGCATATCACCTAAATAATCAAAAGCGCTAAATATTATTTTTCCTTTCAAAATTCAATAATTAAAAAAGAAGTTAAAATATATTTACATAATTAAACTATACTGGCAGACTATTTGCAGATGAATAAGTTAAGGTCACTTTCAAATTTAGATGACGTCTTCAAGGTAATTTAGATTNAAAAAGAAATCAAATGAGTCTGAGAATTATTTATCAATATAAATTTATAAAATTAAGGGCGATTTAATAGCTATGTATTGAATGAAATAACAGCATGATAATTTTAAGAATTTTTTAATTTCTGATGTTCATAATAAAACTCTTTTAATTAGATAATTTGGGTAGTTCAAACATATCAGAATAAATCATTTGGTTGAAAATTTGTAAGGATTTAAGCAATAAAAACACTTTGAATTGTAATAATGAATCATAAGTTATTCTCAAATAAATGATAAACCAAAAATTTGATCTGATCATTTATTTTGAATACTTAGATATCTTTCAATTAATTATAATTTATTCTTTGTTTATTATTCATTATATTCAAATAAATCAATATAATGAAATATTCTTACATATTAGAATTTTTATATTTTCTTATTCATAAATCTCTAAGTTTAATCCCATATCGCAAGATGCTTATGCACTCAAAAGTTCTTCATAAATAATGTCAAGTAATTTTTCAAAAAATCTTATTTTTAAAACACATAAATGGTTTAATGGACCTTACTAACCATTTCTTAATCAAAAATGTAAAATTGACATTGAGAGTATTTTTTGAAATGCCCATCAGCTAAAGGATTGTAAATTTATTTTAATTTCTATTTTGGTCAACTGTATCTGACTCTTTTATGACCTGTTGGTATATTGAAATTTAGTTATTTTATAATTAATTGCTTATCCAAAAATTATGTCTTAATTAGAATATCATAGCATATCACCTACATAATCAAAAGCGCTTAATATTATTTTCCCTTTCAAAATTTAATAATTAAGAAAGAAGTTAAAATAAATAGTCAGAAAATTATTGTTATTTATCATAATTATAGTAATCTCGATATTTACATAATTAATATTCTGGCAGACTATTTGCTAATGAATAAGTTAAGGTCACTTTCAAAATCTAGATGAATTCTCCAAGGTAATTTAGATTTAATAGTTAATTAATTATTAAATACAGATATGTTGTAGAGACTAGAAGGACCTAATAAGGATATATTTGGAAACAATTAATCTGTTGATGTAGTTTACATATACAGTGAAGAAAAAATATGTGGAATTATTAGGCGCTGCTAATCGTGAATAAGATATAGTGGTTTAATATAGAAGAGATTATCTAAATTATTTTTGTGAAGGATATTGAAATCTTAAAAGGTTCAGATATTGTAAAATTTGTTTAGGAATTGAAAAAAAGTAAATTAGAAATGCTTTTTATTTTGTTAATTAAGAATAGAATTTCTTTACCAGATCATTAATTGGAAGAAATTAGAGAGATAGATTTTGATAGCATTATTGATCCTGAATAAGATGAGAATAAAGAATAATTTAAGTAAAATTATTAAGAGAATATGTATATAGATTTATGACATATATGATGAATGCTTCCTAATATGAAGTAACCTTAATAATGAATTATGGTTAGCTTTAAAGATAAGCTAAGAAGAAATCTATAATTTGAATTATCAGAGTATTCATAAAGAGGATGATAATTAAATTATTTAATTTGTAATATAAGAATAAAATAACTGTAAATAAGGAATTTATACTTCAAGATTAACAAAAGATATTCTTAGATAATATTGAAAGTTATAATTATGTTATTGGATTGTAACTAAGAGGAATAACATTAATGAATATTTTAATAATACTAAGAGGCTTTTTATTAATTTTTTAAATAATTCAGAAATAGATAAGATTTACAAGGCACTTTTACATAAGATATCTTTGAAAACTTACAAAAGGATTACGAAGACAGATCTAAGAGAATATAAAATATTTTATTAAGCTTTGGAGAAATAATAATATTAGAAGAAGTTAAAATTCTAATTGAGAGTTTTATAACGATAAGTATCTAAGTATGAAAACTCAATTAAAAAGATAATCGATGATTATGTCAATGAAATTTCCCTTACTCAGATATATGTGGCTCAAAAAAAGAAGATTATGTTTATTATTTAAAAGCATTTATTAAAATTATAAAAATATTTATTATAATCATTGTAATAATAAGAAATTTGGTTTTATTTTATTTTTATGAGCTGAAAGATGTTGTAAATAAATAGATGGATTATAAGAATGATTATATTAATTTATTTTATTTTGTATATATTACTTTAGAACTGTTAAACTTAAGTTTTTGCATCTCATCAATTAGAATCTAGATAGAATTAAATAACTCTCAATTTACTAGGGTTTGTTTAAAAACAAATCAAAAGAGTTAAATGAGATTCAGAAAAAATCACTTTTTAGTTTAATATCTCTATAACTGAATTTTATAACTTTAATATAATTCTACTTTTAAATTTTAACAGAATTTGAGATATTATAAATGAACTTTTATAAACAATATTTTCTTAAGAGTCTTGAGTATGAAAGTATAAAATTGATAATTCCTAGTTTAGAAAATTTATAATGATGGTAATGCTATTTATCTAACTTAGGATTTTAACAAAAAGATAGCCTTTCAAGATTTAAAATTGACATTTACAAATTTTCTGAAAATAGATTTATTTTCAAAATTACTTTAGTTTTTTATTTCTAAAGGTTTTCATTCTTTTTAATTATCACTAAAGTTTAAATGTATAAGCCACCTAGAATCTTTATTAAAAAGAAAAGAATAACTTAGAAATTATAGTAAAATTTTATGAAGAAGGAGCATGATAAAATACTTGAATGAAATTATAAGAAATGGTATCTAATGTTTTGAAATAGTATCATGTATATTTATTAAAATATTATTTTATAAATATACAAATTTTCACATTTTAGCATAATCTCATTAATTTTTCTTGTTAAAAAATTAGATTCTGGAATAGAAATCATAAAGAAATCTACAGAATAATTCTTTTTATAATTGGAATTTTATATAAATTACACATAGACCGTATTTTAAATACTCATTTAATATTCTAAAAGGATTATTAAAAAAAAAGAATTTAAAAGCCTAAAGATTAAAGCCATCAAGATTACAAGGTTTATATAATAATAATTAATTTTAATTTTTTATTGATACTAATATATTGGTCTTAAGTAATAATTCTTGCAAGCTTAAAGAAATATGCCCATGTAGATAACTTCTATTATATATTTCAGGATTCAACAAATGATATTCAAGAATCATTTTCTGGTTGGTATTTGAACACTATTTGCTGAGTACTTAAATAACACAATAAACTACTATCCATCCTATTTAATTTGAGATAAATGAATCTGTGGAAATCAATTCATAGAAAGAAAGTTATTATTTAATATGTATAGCTGTTGTTTTAAACAAATCCATTTCCTTAATTAAAATGATTTCGATTATAAAATAAAATCAGACATCTTAAGCAAAAATGTTCAACAATTTTTAAATATATAACTATACCTAATCAACAATTTATCTCCTTTTTTGAATGAATATTTAGAATAAGTATGATTATCCATCAAAAATAATTAAATCTAAAATCTCGTTTTGAAATGCAAATTAGAACTATAAATTAGTGATTTAGAAATTAGGATTATATCATTTGTTTTTTTCAATACAAAATATTAATTTTTAACATACCTGATAAATTTAAATCTATTTTAAGGTAAAGTTTTTAATATTTAAGCAATTTAAGAAGAAATAATTTTGTGACATATTTAGTCCACTAAGGTCAAAAATTCCTTGGTTTGGGAGGATTTTAGTCTCTTTTTGATGACTACTACCCTTTTACTATTACATAATAAAACTAAATAAATATTTTAGTAGCCAGGTTCAATAATATTGTTTCATGCAAAAATCTATATAAAATTAATCTTCAATTGATCTACTTGATATTATACAAGATGAACTAGGGGATTGCTATTTGTTATGTTTCTGATCTACTTTGGTTGAAATTCCTTAATAAATTAAAAAACTTGAGACTTTAAATGTATTAATAAAGTTGTAAGAGTAATACCTTAAATTTAAAATTCATACATAAAATCTTAGATTTGGTATGCAATTTTAAATATACGATAGGCTATTGGAAATGATGAACAACATGATAAAATAATTAAAATAAGAAATGTATATCATTTAATGTAAATTTGAATAGGAATGGTTAGAAAAGAATGGACAAGAGATTTAGTGATAATTCTGCAAAATGTACACTAGAATTAACATACAGAATTTTAGTATAATAAAAAAATTATGGTATATTTTGAATCTTATAACTAACTGAAATTAATTAGATTTTTATATACAAGTTTAAATTAGATTATTTATACTAAGTCAAAACACTTAAAACAAGTTTTTATGGATTTTTAAAAGCTGATCAGAAAGTCAATGATGAAAATTTAAGAATATAATCAAGATTTATAAAAATGAACCTTTAATTAAATCTAAGAGGATAGAGAAAATTAATGTTATTTCTAATTATGATGATATGAATAATTAGAAGAATAATGTGAACCAAAAATATCAGTATAAATCAATTTAAGTAATGATGTAATATAAGAATAAGATATAATTACAATTCTAACTACCAAGATACTAACTGAAAATAAAAAAAAATCTGTTGAGATTTCTTAATATTAACAATATTATGTTTATCTTAATCGTCAAACCACTCTCACATCATGATCCCATCTTAGTTTTTGGAAGGAAAAGATTAAATCTAGTATTTTTGATATTTATTTACATCTAGTAAAGTTATCATTATTTTTCAACACTTATTATGAAACTATAACATAGAATATAAAGTGCTAGAAGAAGGAATAATCAATGAAAATATGTAAAAATATGATAATTTAATAAATCATTATTTAATTCAAATTGATATATTTATTCTTGATATAGAATCACTTGATAGAAGAGTTAGGTAGAACAGATAATTTATACTTAAACAGTAATGATTCAATTTGAGTTGTAACAATATAAATACTTATCATATATATTATTATGGGTTTGGGTTTGGCCTAAATACAGGATACTATAGTAGTATAGTGTGGTTGGGGCCGGGGCAAATCTTCCTCCAAAATTTTTTTTTTCTATTTCTAATGTTGTTTGCATAAGATTTTATTGTTTATTTAATAAATTCAAAATTTCTTATAATTCAAATATAAATGAGGAATCATAATGAGATGAAAATTTAGAATTAATAGAAATACATTAAATTTAATAAAATCCAGAAATAATTATTATTGTATATAATGGATTTATTTTCTTTGGCAATAAAGATTAAATAATTTTAGTGATATTGCTTATAATAGGAGTTTATTTGAGGACAAAATTCTTGATACTCTTACTCTAAATTATCATTATTCCAATATTCTTCCAAATAACTATAATTTAAAAAAAAAAAAAATAGAATAGAATAGAATAGAAAGCTGAAATTTTATTTTTAGCTTTTGATATTCATAAAAATACTTATTTTGCTCCTAAAAATATTTTCCTTTCTATTCAGCTAGCCTAAAAAATATAGAACCAATTCTTCCATTTTGGTCCAAACAAACTTAGCCAACGTCTATTTCCTATGGTTAATTTAAATTTTTCTATGTGAGGTGAATAAAAAAATTCTTTTATCATTTTAAAAGCTAATTAATTTAAAATATTTATTCCTAGATCTATTTAGTATTTATGCCAGATTGATAATATTTTAAATTTTAAATATTGAATTAAAATAAAATTGAGGCAACTGTTTCCAGAAAATATTAAATTTAAAAAAGAAATCAAATGAGTCTGAGAATTATTTATCAATATAAATTTATAAAATTAAGGGCGATTTAATAGCTATGTATTGAATGAAATAACAGCATGATAATTTTAAGAATTTTTTAATTTCTGATGTTCATAATAAAACTCTTTTAA